TATGCTCAACATCGATGATGGTCCACGTCAACGATCCTCAACGATGCTCGACGCCAACAATCAATGCTCAACGATCCTCAAACATCCTCGATGCCAACTATCTTCAATAAATCCTCTTCGTCGTCAACGATCCTCAACGATGCTCGACATCAATGGTGCTCAACGATGCTCCACTTCGACGACCCTCTCAACGATGCTCGACTTCAACGATCCTTACAACGATGCTCGACGTCAGCGAGCTTCAACGATGCTCGACAGCAATGATGCCCAACGATGCTCGACGTCAACGATCCTCACAACGATGCTCGATATCAGCTATGCTCAACATCGATGATGGTCCACGTCAACGTTCCTCAACGATGCTCGACGCCAACGATCCTGGCAAGGATGCTTGACGTCAACGATCCTCACAACGATGCTTGACGTCAACGATCGTCACAACGATGCTGGACGCCAACGATCCTCGTCGATGCTCAACATTAATGATCTTCACAACGATGCTCAACGTCAATGATCTTCACAATGATAGTCGACATCAACGATCCTGGCAACGATGCTGGCCACCAACGATCCTCAACGATGTTCAACGATGCTTGACGTGAGCAATTCTTAACGATGCTCACGGGCAATGATGCCCACAACATTGCTCTACATTTCAACGATTTTGGCAACGATGATCGACGTCAATGATTCTCACAACGGTACTGGATGTCAGCGATCCTCACAACAATGCTCGACGTCAACGATCCTCAACGATGCTCGATCCCAATAATACTGGGAACCACACGCACCGCAATGAATCACAACAACATCAAGCACCGAGGCTGTACGTTAGCATCGGCTCCGGTGTGCGCTTTCTCTGCTCTCCCCCGCGGATGCGGCACCGGGTTGATCACATGTTCAGGGTGTTGTATGTATACCCTCCGTTGGTATTTTGCGTTTGAATCTTACAGTGTACCGGTAGGCAGTTAGTTGTAGATTGGATCTGGAAAGGATATCTGCCCCACGTAAGAAGAGATGACGCATGGGTGAATAGTATTGTACTAAAACGGCCCTAAGTGAGTCCTGTGCGCATTGCTGATAAGCGTGCTTTTGGGGTGGGCTGCCTGTGTCTCCCTGCTGGTCTCTATGTATGTATGTTTTTTGCTCTTAACCGAGGCACAACGGCAACTTTCGGCACGCAAAGTGATCGGAGCTGAGAATGGATGGATCTGAATCGGCCTGTAGTCACGTAAAATAAATCAGTGTACTGCTGTACAGTTGACACCGGGTTCCTCCGCTTTTGCTCTTCTTCTTCACGGTTGAACTACCATAGCACAGCAGGTGACATTTGCTGATCATCATGGTCATGCCGCTATGGTCGCGTTCTTTGTGCTCTCCCTCCCATACATAAGAACAGCAAACAAAATGCAGCAGTCCTGCCATGGCCGTTGAGTAGCGCATTCCAAGCTCGGTACGAGCAATTTATTTTAGATAAACGATCAAACATTTAAGGAATAATAAAAACACACACAGAAAGACTACCCATTCGAGATATACCCACAGTCGAACGGGATGTGGTGGAGTCTTTTCAGTGAGTGGAGGGAAACCGACTGGGTACTGGACTTATTTCGAGTCTTTTAAAGTCTATACACTGATGATTTATACCAGTGATGCCAGCTGGTGCTAAGTACAAAAACATCTGTATAGGTAACTTACATTTTACAATAGTCTACATCCCCTGTAGTTCTCTACTGGGTCATGCCAAAATGCGGCGTAACCTCCCCCCCCCCCCCCCCCCCTCTCTTTCTCTTTCCCCCCTGCATTTCTATTCCCTGGAAAAGCCCCATGCCATGAAATAACCCAAAATAACCACCCAAAACCAACCCCAAGGGGGGGGGGGGGGGGAACCCGGGATCCCTTTGCCCCAAAATGGTTAAAACCCACCCCACCCCGGAAGTTTGGGGGGAATGGGCCCTCCAACAACAACTCTCCCCAAGCATCACCCGGGGGGCCCTCCGGGGGAAAACTGGCCAATCCTGGCCCCTCCTTTCTGGCTTTGTGGGCCTGGAACCGGGTATATTCCCCAACGGGGGGCAACCACCACCCCCCGGGGTAAGGTGAAAACCATAATAACCTGGGGAAACAAATACCAAAGCCTTTTTGCCCCCCCCGGGCACACATTCCAAAGGGGGGGTGTTTCTGCTGAAGCTGCCCAATGG